ACTGCCGGATAAGGAGAATCGTAAGTGGTTTAACATACATGATGTTAAGCTTAGAAGTTAAACCTAGGATTTCCTTGGCGTCCCTTTTATCATAGGTGCCTCATGTGTATTTCAGTGATTGTGGGACTTGATCTAGAGTGTGAACGACTAGCCTTTCGACGTCTGTAAGGGTCTCCTATGAGGCGCTCTCCTTATAGAATTCCGTGCCGTGCGGCTCCTTCCTGGACGCGTTGCCATCGGCACGGCGAGTGCGTGTCTGACCTCAGCTGCGGGTGTTAGAGAAGCGTGACTTTCAGGTGCAGTGCCGGTAACGGAGCCAACAGGTGGTTCTTATCTGGGTAGATGGAGGGGTCACTTCCGCTGTACATTATGGCAGTGACAGGCCTGACCATAACGGAACCTGCACTTGGTCCTGGGGGGCGCTTCCTGGCTGTTTTCATGGAGGCAGGGAGCCTGCGAGCCTGACGCTGAGAATGTAGCTGTGACCACAGGGCACCACACTGCAGGCTGAGGTGTGAGCCTGTGGCAGGACCCTCGCCGGGGAGCAGGGTATAAGATGCACAGGAGGTGTAGGTTAGGTAACGGTCGTTTTATATGTATGTTTTACTTCCGTATTTATTATTTTGTAGAGCTATTTGTGACTGTTTAGAGTTACTGTTTTTATTATATTTATGTATAAGATTGACTTTTTAAAATAAATAAGACAAAAATTATTTTTGAATGCCTCTGTCATCTTTTGCAAAGAAAGACAATTTGAAAAGTAAAAATGCTTAAATAATGTAAATTAAGAACAAATTGCGTAGGCGAACAGGTTTGAAAGTGGCAGTGAGCTGTGCCAAAGATGGACTTCTAAATGCAAAGTCAGAGTTCTGTTGGGCTTCTCTGTGGTTCAGTCAGGGAAATGCAAGACGCATCTGGCTAGGCTGGACTAAGACAAATGTAATTCTACTTAAAATGACTCTTCTTCCCATGTCCATACATGGATGTGCCCCAATGGCCCTTGGCCATATTACCTCTTCCTTTTCTCCCGTCGCTTCCCTGCCCATAGAGCACGAGTGAGCCTCGTTCCGGCCAGGCTGTGCTCAGCGCCTCCCGCCTGGTGGTGTTGGGTGCGGTGCCCCTGCCCTGCTCTGATGCCCAGGGGCCACCGATTCTTTCAAAGCCCAAATGCCTCCATTGGATTGAGCATGCTTTTAATATGAGAAGTGAATGGTGCTCAAAATATAAGGGTGTCTGTGTATTTCTATTAAGTGATCATTATTTTCTTGTCTGAAAACTTTGTTTTATATCTTACTAGAGACCCGATGCACGAAAATTCATGCAAGAGTAGGCCTTCCTTCCTTCCCCCAGCTGCCGGCACTGGCTTCCCTTGGGCTGCCTGTAGGCACCTGGGACCCAGCTGGCTTCCCTCTGGCCCCGGCTTCGTCAGGAAGGTCGTCCGGAAGACGTCCGGTCTAATTAGGATAGTACCTTTTTATTATTATAGATACTGAATGCTTTGCCCCTAAATATGGGCTCTTTTATTATTTATTAGATGTACAAAGGAAATAATCTCACAACTTGGTTTTCCACAAACATTTGTGCACATGAGTCTGCACGAGCTGTCAATAAAAAATGTTAAAACCTTGGTTTTATAACTTAGATTTCATAGACGCAGTTTTACAACGTTGGCAGATGTATTTAAACAAAACCTCTGCGTAAGCTGCTCACAGAGTCTCCTCAGTGAGCCTGGCTGAGTGGGAAGGGCCACGGAACTTGGGTCTCCTCGGTAAATAGTCCCCCGGTGTGGTTGTAGTCCCCCCTCTGGTTCGCAGTACAGGTCGTAGGAGGCCCCAGGAGTCCTGACGCGGGATCCCCGCTGACAATTTAAGGTGAAATCTGAGGCTTTGGTCAAGTTACGCCTTTCGAAAAGGTCCTCAGTAGAGTCACCAAAGTAAAGCTGAGGCAATAGCGAGATTCCTTTTGAACCCACAGCAGGTTCTTCCGGCACGAATTCATAGCCCTCTTCTACCCTTCCAGCCAAAGGCCATTCCCAATGCTCTATGTGGAATTTGTCTGAAGGGTAAGGAGTCCAACAAGAAAGGGAAGGCTGAACCTCTTATACACTGCTCCCAGTGTGAGAACAGCGGTAAGTACCACCTGTCTGCTTGCCGTTTTAACCACCTGTGTGTTAGTTGTCAGCTAGACTTGCCCCAGAGAGTTATCAAGTATTAAGGGTCATTTATAAGGCGTAGGTTAAGTCCATGCATTTTCTTCCAACTCTGCATTTTCATTTCTTGGATGATCTTAACCATCGTAGTAGCCATTCTTGAGAACTCACAAAGCAGCTAGCAATTTATTAGCCATTTTAAGGTAAACATTCCCTGTGCTTGGTGAATCCTACTAATCTTGGTTTTGGTTTAGGCCATCCTTCTTGCCTGGATATGACCATGGAGCTTGTTTCTATGATTAAGACCTACCCATGGCAGTGCATGGAATGTAAAACTTGCATTGTGTGTGGACAGCCCCACCATGAAGAGGAAATGATGTTCTGTGATGTGTGTGACAGAGGCTACCACACGTTTTGTGTGGGCCTCAGTGCTATCCCATCAGGTAACGACCACAAACGAAAGGCCGGCCCCTGCGAGGGGATTCTCCCAGCCCTGACCTGAAAGGCGGCACACACACCAGTGACATGTGGGCCTGTGCTGTGACACTGCCCCCCCCCCTCCCCCGGTCCAGCTGCCGTCTGTGCCCGGCCCTCCCAGCCAAGGACACTGTGGTGTCAGGGTGACTAGTCCAGGTTTGGTGTTGAGCTCAGTGTGTAGAATGAGCCACTGTTTTTCTACTAAAATAGCTAAAACGACAGCACCCCTTTTTTTCAAAGCCTTGATTTTATTTTTCATATGTCATGGACACAGTTAAAATGATTCCTATGCCTTTGGACGTATTGGTCCAGATTTCTATCAACTGAGGCAGCATAACAACCCAGGTAACTTTAGAAGGAACACAAAATTGAAGGATATATCACAGTATCTGGACTGAAACATCGCACACGCAATTGTGCAATGTCAGACCTCACTTGCATAGTTGACATGTGTATGATGCTGTAAGAAAGAAGGCCAGAACTGCGCTTCCTGGGAATCACTAAGAAACAAGCAACTTAGGTCACTACCTGAAGTCCTGCAGTCATTCAGACAGCACTGAGGGCAGCGGATCCCCGTGCTGTCAGACACTCGGTCAGTTTAAAGCTGTGTCCGCCTCACCCACCAGGACAAGGATGCTAAGACACAGCTGCCAGTGAGCAGCAGCGAAAGGGCTGAAATGGGCGAGACATAACAGGGATGTTACGATACCAATGGCTGAACTTCCTGAGCCTGTAGTGCTGGGTTTCAGAAAGGGTGAGGACGTTCTAAAGGTCCATAGCACTGCTCGGCCCGCGCCCCCCACCTGACTGTCACTTGGCATTGATGACACTGATTATCTTCAAGAGTTCACATTTTTCTCCTTAAATTAAGGAACGCAGTAGTGCCCTTCCTCCCACAAACCCAGAGGAGCAGCATTAGTGATAGCAAGGAAGGAGAGCTCAATGGGTTTACAATTCAGTCCTAAAAAAATTACATTTCATTCTCTATTAACTAACAATTTTTCTCCTAGGTCGCTGGATTTGTGACTGTTGTCAGCGAGCTCCCCCAACACCCAGGAAAGTGGGCAGAAGGGGGAAAAACAGCAAAGAGGGATAAAATAGTTTCTCAACCCCAACACTGTAATATGCATTTAAGTGAATTATTTGGTGCCAACTTATTTCCAGTTCTCGTTTTTATGCCAATAAAAGATTTTTGAAATGAACTCTGTGCTTAGAATCTGCAAGTTGACTCATTTCTGTTAAAAGCTGCTCGTACCCTGGGAACCAGTTTCAGGTAGAGAAACGGTTCATCTTCCAAAAGGTGGTTTATCTCTTAGTATCGTGGCTTCTTTGGAAATTCAGAGGGAAGTATTAGGCAATTTCATTTGAAATCATTATTCCTCCATTAGGCTGGAAGTTGCGATTATGTTTAGGCAGTTTTCCTAATCTTTATTGTTTCTGGCCGACCACGGGGACCACGACAGGGTTTAGTAATGGGAGACTCACAATAGGCAGGCGGAGAGCTGGATGGGGAGCAGCTGGGTGAGAACGTTGTGACCGCCAGGAACACCTGCCCTAGTTGGTTTGGGTTAGTGGATGGAGCGCCCGCCTGCGACGGAAGGGTCCCAGGTGCGAGACTGGTCAGGGGCACATGCCTGGGTTGCGGGCTCGGTCCAATGTCCAGGAGGCAGCCGATCAATGATTCCCTGTCTCTCCCTCTTCTTTCCTCTCTGAAATCAATAAAAACATATTTTTTAAAAAGCCAGGAACACCTGCTGGGCAGGCGGGCCCTCCCTCCCGGCCGGTGTGGGCCGCAGTCCCTCCTGCCAAGGGTGCAGACTGGCTCACACACTGAACTCGAGACTCACTCTGCTGACGGGGCTGCTGCTGCGGCTTCTACGGAAACCTGTCCCCGCCACCTTCCTGCTCCGCCACCTGACGGCTGGTGCGGGGAGCGGAGGCATTTGCTGTGCACACGACTCTTACAGGAATAATGAGCTTTAAAAGAAAGCCAGCGCCGAGCTTGCGGCTTCTCCTGCGTGGGGGTCAGAGGTAACGCGCTGTATGGCTTTATTTGGGACGGAGTTCCCGGCCGTCACGGTCACAGACACAGGACGCGATGGGCCCGCGCCGTCAGAACAGGATCTCCAGGAGCAGCTTCAGGACGCCCAGGAGGATGGTCCAGAGCAGCGACTCCTCCTCCCGCGACGCGCCCTCCGGCTCGTAGGCGTGCGTGTGCCCC